ATATAAGAAATATCTACTAAAAAATATAATTTAGAGAAAGTTTATTTTGTTGTACAAGTGAAAAGGATGAAAGATGGTAAGTGGAATGGCCCAAAACGGCGCCGTTGAGAGAAGGTACTGTGGCCTTGTCGGAAGCTGTGTCACTCCAGCTAAGACATCATCATCATCGTCAATTCATTGCAAGAAGAGAAGAGAAGACACTGTTGGGGGCTCAGCCGCGGGTGGGTCCCATCGCCTTCCCTCAACTGGCCCCATTCACCGCTTACTCATAATTTCCTCTTACTTTATTATTTCTGCAAATTCTACTGTGTGCGATGCGAGTGAGTAAAATCTTGTTTTACCATCTTATTTTCGTTTGTAGCCAGCCATCTACCATTGTTTATTTTTAATTTCCCATGTTCAAGTGTCTGTCTGTCTGTCTTTGATGTTGTCCACGATTCTTCATACTGTCATCTTCTTCAACAGTTTTTAACATTTCTTGATTTCTTATTATTAGATTAGATTACATTAGATACCGGCCCTAGACATTTTTATTTTTTAATTTACCATTGTGAATTTCCAAATTCAATAGAAAAAGGGGGAAAAAAAAAGTAGAAAATATTGCCACCCATTTTGGCTTTTTCCTACTAAATCTCATACCTTTCTACACTCGTTTCCCTGTTTTTGCAACCCTTTCTAGAGGGTTGTGTGCGTCTCTCTCTTTTTCCTAATAACCTTTTTTTTCTGCTCTCTTTCTTTTTAGTGTGTGTCAGCTTTGAGCTGGGTTACTCTTGCTGACTTGCTGTTCAATCTCCAAATCCCGATAATATTCGGCCCGATTAGCATGTCGGGCCTTTACAATCCCAACTTCTCCCCTGCGAGGGCTGCTTCTCCACAAATTAGAAGCACATCAGACGTAGACAGGTACGATTCACTCTCTCGCCCTCCCTTTTCCATTTTGCCCTCAATTGTTTAAATTCTCTGCTTACTCGTTGAGTTTTGATCCATCGGCCGGTGCTGTTTCTGTTTCATTAGCAACCAGTATTTGTCGGAGCTTTTGGCGGAGCATCAAAAGATTGGCCCTTTCATGCAAGTCCTTCCCATCTGTAGCAGACTCTTGAATCAAGGTTTATCCTTTTTCGTTCCTATTGTTGCTTTGCAACTGTTTTACTTGCTCCATTAGTTGGATCTAGGTTTTCTAGAATTTCTGACTAGTTGCCTCCATTTCTGAGAGGATGAATTCAGCTTTTAGATTTACTGTTTGGATCTGTAAACACCCCTACTGCTTGTATCACAGAAAAAGTATCTTTTTTTTTTATTTTTTATTTTTTTTGCAAAAGAACCCTACTAGTTTAGTTTTCTCCTGTATGATATGTATGTATGTAATTCATGAGCTGCCTGTGAAATTTATAAATTTAAAGTATTTTTCTGTACTAGAATGTGCTATTGAGTAGTTTGAGCAGGCCTTTCTAACAAAAAGACCATTTTTTGTTGAAGTTTATTATTGTTGCGATAGTTGGAAGTTCTGATTTGAGCTCGCGTTCTTGTGTCTTTGTGACCTTTTTCTATTTTAATGAAACTGACATGTTCTAGCAAGGAGACTTTTCATGAAAGACGAATCTTTATATATTTTACTTGAAAGGGGAATCCTAGTTGTTTCTGACTGGGATTGGTTTGCTGCAAATGGCTACATGATGACACTACGTATCCATATCAGAAGTCAGAACTCAATGCAAAAGTGGTCAAACATTGTTTGTATTGCTTTGGCTCTCTATTGGAGCTCCAGCAGATGCGTTGGGCACAGCGAACATGAATATGGTGCCTGTAGGGAGGCAAAATCACAAGCTTTATCAAGAGAATATTATCTCCTTGAGAAAGATGTGTGAGGCACTCAACGTAGTGGAGCCATTGCTGTTCTTGTGCTTCTATTGCAGAATTTGCATTAAACATCCTTGTCTTTTAATTTTTGGAGTAATTTTCTTTGTTGATGGTTACATCTTGTTCTTACAATTGCACTCTCATGTCTTTCCAGAAATGTTACGGGTTACTGGGATGATGCCGAATCAAAGCTTTGGCGAATTTGAGAGATTAAGACATAGAAGTCCCAGCCCAATGGCTTCATCAAACCTTCTATCTAATGTTGCTGGGACAGGATTAGCTAGCTGGAATGGACTTCCTCATGAGGTAATTGATGTTGACCCTTTTTATTTTAAATATTAGAATATAAATATATATTGTACAAGCAATGTGATTGGTGTAAATTTGTCCAGTTACTGATATTATAAATTCCGAGGCGATATGAATTAACATGCATTAAATTACCAAGCTGCTTAATTCAGCTAGTTTTCCATCCTTCTTAAGTTCAACCTTGGGTCAATGCAGTTTGAAGCTGAAAGGTAGTTCAAATCTTGATAAGAAATCCAAACAAAAACCCCAGCTACATATTGTTTGTGCAGTTTATATGATTCGTGTAGACCACCCTTTTGAATTTTTTGATGAAGTTTGAAATCCAAATATTTATGGTGTGATTGGAGCAAGTTAACAGGCCCCGTTTTGTTTCTCTGGAACCTTCTTGTTTATGTTCATCTTCATTATCTGCAATTATTTTATTTCTACATGATACCTGATCTGGTAGTTGGCTTGCTTTAATGTTTGAAATCAACAAACTAGATAATCCATCATCTTTTTTGGCTTTATTACTGCCAGAGAGTAATCATTCTCTATTATGAATCTCAGAAGTCGAAATCACGTGTGTTCAAATTGTAATTTTTGTCTTGTTTATTTAATATTTGTAATTTCAAAAGTAAGAGTTCACCCAACTTGTACGTGGCAGAGATTGAGTGGGCCTCCTGGAATGTCGATGGACTGGCAAGGAGCACCAGCAAGTCCCAGTTCATACACTGTGAAAAGGATTTTGCGCCTAGAAATTCCTGTGGACAACTATCCTAATGTACGATAACTCCATACACTTGCTTTCGTCTCCCTTACTTTTTTCAGCTTACTCCCTTCCCTCTAGACTGTTTTCTTAACAAGTATATCTGGATTTGTAGTTCAATTTCGTTGGGCGACTCTTGGGACCTAGAGGAAATTCATTGAAACGAGTGGAAGCCTCCACAGGATGCCGTGTTTATATTAGAGGAAAAGGTTCAATAAAGGACCCTGACAAGGTATGTGGTCTGATGTGATGACTATCTACAAAATAAGTATACATTTTGTCGATGGATGCATAGGTTAAATATGCTACAATAGCTGATTGATTAATGATATATATTGATTATTGAGCATTTTCTTCATTACTGCTCTTCTGTTATTTGCAGGAAGAGAAGTTACGTGGAAGACCAGGCTATGAGCATCTTAATGAGCCACTCCATATCCTGATTGAGGCTGATTTACCAGCCAACATTGTCGACATCAAACTGAGACAAGCCCAGGAGATAATAGAAGAACTGCTGAAGCCAGTGGTATGCATATCAAACCAACTCCGCTTGCTTTTTACATCTTTTTTCTTTTTCTTTCTTTTGTTTCTGTAGAAATTAGACTCTTCAGTTGCTTTTAAATCTACTAGACTGTTTTCATGGCGCACTTCAAAATTGAATAAATAACTAAATGATGAATTTATGGGGTGCTTCAGATGTTGTAAGCACATTGCAGTTTCTACCTATATTTTCATTTGATGAAAGTACTGCTTGAATTTATGAGCATAAACGAAGATATACTGAGTACACAAAGTTTCATTTTTCACCTTGGTCGAACTCAAAGGAATCTTGATTATTATGGTTGACTGCCATTTACGTTTACGGGGCATTCTACATCTTGTGCATTCTCAGTAAGCTTTTACTTGTGTTATCTACAGGATGAATCACAAGACTATATAAAGAGGCACCAGTTACGTGAGCTAGCCCTGCTAAATTCCAATTTTAGAGAAGAGAGCCCTGGACCAAGTGGCAGCGTATCACCTTTCAATACTAGTGGAATGAAACGTGCAAAAACAGGACGTTGAGTTGCAAAATCCCTAAAGCTGTGTTCTGTCATCAACTGAGTCATACTTGTCACGTGTCATTTATGACATCTAGGCAAACAGGATATTGTGGTTGATGCGTGATTGGTTTTCTTTGTTCCTAGTGTCTCGAATGGAATACAGAAACAGAGAGGTGGGAGAAGACCAAAAAAACAAAATGAAGATTCTTAAATTTGTTGATCTTAAAGTGGGCTATGGCTATGGCTATGTTTGTTTTTGCAACTTCATTCATTGAATTGATTCTTGTGTTAGTGTGTGATATATTGTTATTGTTATTGGTACAGAGTAGCTTCAAGAAGTCACAGATTTTGTAATCAATTCGTCACCACAGACTACTATTTTAAACTTGATTTTGGGACACACTTAAAGCTTCAGCAAGGTCTAATGTGTTGTTAAAAACAGTCAGTTGTGTGCAGTGAGGCAGGTTTTGCTGGCAGACAAGTATGATGTCTTCAGTTATTTCATTTTTCCAGTACATGATTTGTGGCTGTATAATGTCATAAATGTTTCATCTGTTTCATTGCTTTGCCTTTGTACTATATAATATATTATTAGACTTTGAAGGCTGTTTTTTGCTACACTCTGAGGAATTATTCTACCAGTTGATTGTTACGATGTACTTTAAATACAAGCTGTGGTTAAACTGCAGAAGAGTAGTAGCACTGGTATTTGAAATCTTCATGTCTTGCCAGTATTATACCGTGATAAAAAGCCCCAAAACGAAATAAAAGATCCCAACTCTATTAATGACGAAATATAAATCCAGTAGAAGGCTTTTGACAGTCTATAAAAGGGTGAATAAAAACTGACGATTTATCATCATTCTTGGATAATTGAGGTCTTTGACAGTATGAAAAGACGTGATTTCTTAATTTTGGATTTTGTTGGTTCATATAGACACCAATTGGGGTATACCAAGGTATACCAGGTAGGCTGTTAACGAACTGAACGTTCGTGAAGAAATGCTCTTTCGTTTATCAATCGAACCGAATTCGAGTATAAAATTAGACTTGTTTAATAAATTAATGAACACTAGCTCGTTCGCTAAAGGTTCAATAATGTGCGAACATTATCGAAATATAATTTTATTCTAGTTTTATATACTTATATGCATTTTTAATAAAAAAAATTTAAAATATAAAAATATATTTATATTCGAACTTCATCTGTGTTCGAACGAACAAATTTCGAGTTAAACAAACAATTATAAAAAAATTATTTCTTAAAATTTGTCGAACACGAACGAATTAAAACTTTAACGAACGAATTTGAACACAAATTTTCGGTTGAAAAATTTACAAACGAACACTAACAATGTTTCAAACGTAAACGAAGAAATGCCCAAATTTGGCTTGGCGGTATGATTACAACACTAAAACTAGGTAAGAAATTTACTCTCCTCTATGATAACAATCTCTGGAATAAAGATTGTTTTTTAACAAGGTTTATGGAAATTCAATGATTGGATTTTTGCAAGGATGTCAAACAATTTCCTTTTCTATAGCTATACAAGGATCTTTGAGCAACAATTTCTTTTTGTGATGGCCAACAAAAAACCAGCAAGGATTGGTATTTGCTCAAAAAGTCCATCTTCAATGTCGTCTCTTGGTCTAAAGCCGATGCACTAGATTGTCCGGAAAACACTAGGATGGCAAATCGTGCTACATTATTCTCTTTAAAAAATCTAGAAATCGATTAATTTGATGTACATATATAATAAAAAATTGAATATTCATAATTCAAGTTTGAAAATAATTTTAAATTATTCAAACATACGAAATAAAAATTATATTTATTTAAAAGCAGAAAACTTGCATATATATGAGGGGTAGTTATCGGAATTCGAATAGCATTGCAGAACAACTCGATAAATTATTCTAGGTCGACTAGGAATCCTCTAATAAGAAGTAAAATTTATTCGATATAAACGTCGAAAAACGAAGGTGCCATTAGAAATAAATCCGGCCAAGAGTGTGTTCATACTCGCTTCCAATTCAAGGGCTTGATTCAGTCAAACTAACAAGACTAAAGCACTCCATCGTTCTTACTACCCTTGTTCCGCCCGCAGTTCAGTTTCGAGAACCTGTGGCCGATTTGGGTGCTAGGTTTGTGGAAATTCTTCAAACTCCCTTCCTCTCTTTCGTCACACGCATGCAACAGTTCAATGTAGTTATACTCTGTCTCAATTTCATTGATTCGAAACTGAAATTTGTGAAAAGATTCCATTTTTTTTTTCGGTTGGATGTCTACTTTTTTTTTTTAAAGCATAAGCGTTGGCGATGATTCTTTCATTGTGTTAAACATTAAGGTGGAATTGGAACTCCTTTCGCTTAAAGTTCGTTTTTTGAGGTTCTGAGTATTGGTATTTTGCCAATTTTTATCTAATTCTCATCCACATTTTGGTCCAGTTCATCCCAATATTTGTAGATAGTATATTATCATGGTTCAGTGTGTGTTTTATTCATCTGCTCCTTTCGGTTTTCAATTTCATCTCCTAGTATTCAGTTGGGTTTGGCACCCTGATCTGGTGGTTAAGAGACTAACATCCCTATTCAGATTTCCCCCTTGACTAATAATCTTTTCTTTTGATAGACCAGTGATGTGCATAATTTCTTTAGACGCATGACCATATGGATCTTGTAGACAGTGTATTATTATTCACTCAGAGACATGCAGTTGTTTGGGGAATTATTGATATGTTTGAGGCGTTTTTCATTCATGGTAAGTTAGGATGTCTGTTGCACATTGTTGTTGGGTAGATATCAATATGATTTCCCTGTTTATCACATTTTAAGGGATTGACTGTCTCTAATCGCAGCTTCGTTCAGCATTTGGATACCCTTCTAATTTGGTGAGCCTGCATACTAATCGTCCTTCCGTCTCAATGGCTTCTCTGGATCCTATAGATATCAGTTCTTCAGATAGTGATTCAGATTTACGTGAGATAGACAATTATAGGGATGAGTCTCCAATTAGGGATACCTCTTCATCAGTTCCTCCCAGGATACTTCCAGCATGGATGTCTCAATTGGCAGGTGAAATATTTCAATTGCTAGATACAAATAGATTTATTGTGATGCATTCAATGTTATAGATTGAATTCCTGTGATGCAATTTGCAGTTCGTCAAGACCCTTCTTCTTCTTCTTCTTCTTCTTCCAAGAGGCAGAATTTTGCTCATAATAATAATTCATCAAGACCGCGTAAGCATTTACACATCACAGAGTCTTATGGACCTTCAAGCTTGATGATTGATGGTAATAATCGCCAACAAAACAGCTCAAATAATTCTGGTAGATTGGTTACAAGCCCCAACATTCACTCTTCTCATCAATCTTTGAAGAGGTCCCTTCCTACATCTTTTCAGTCCTCTACATCTAATATGCGATCCAGCAGTCCAGTAGAAAATGTTGTTGCAAGCGAACTTCGCGGCATGTATGCAAATTCTTCTAATGGGAATAACTTGATGAAAGAAAATTCAATCTGGGGCAGTGGGAGCAGTTCCTCATTGTATGAGAAAAAAGGAAATAGATTATTGCCTCCATCTTTGGTTCCTGGCAAGCATACGTCGCCCTCAACATTTGTTAGTTCTAATGACCCTTTCCATCATACTGGAATAATTGAAGAAGGGCCTGCAGGAGCTGATGAGAGTTTAGTTTTTCGAGCCGCCGTGCAGGTATTTCTTGTTTATTAATCTATTTCTTGGTTTTTCTTCATTTGTTTTTCTTTGATTATTAAGCCAGCCATATATGATGACTCTTCTTGTATTTTGATTGATAGTGGTCTGATTTTCTAGTTATGTTTGCTTTTCTCTTACATTGTTTTTTATACTTGAATAACTATATTGGATGTGGTTTGTTCATCCTGCAGGACCTTCGTCAACCAACACTCGAAGCTAATTTACCTGAAGGCCTCTTGGCAGTGCCTCTTCTTAGGCATCAGGTCCTGGTCTACTTATGCTAGCCATCCATTTAATTGAATATAATATTTGTGATTTTTAAGCATAGACCTTATCACATTTCAGAAAATTGCTTTGGCATGGATGCTTAGTAAGGAATCATCTGGTTTATGTTTGGGGGGGATTTTGGCTGATGACCAGGTGAGCAAGCTGTTGTTTTATTTAATCTTACTATCTGGACCACATTCCTTTGGTTGGAGATGATGTCACCAAATTTTATTCCATACTGCAGGGCCTAGGTAAGACTGTGTCGACAATTGCGCTGATACAGATGCAGAGACACCTTGAGAAAAAAGCCAAAAACAAAGTTTCTTGTAATAGCAGGACAGAAGCGTTGAACTTGGATGATGATGGTGGAATTAGTGGTTTGATTGCACTTGATGATGCAAGCCAGATTAAAGAATCTGATGATTTTGCGATATTACCACGGGAAAGTAATATGATTAAAGGGTTCCGTAGCAGGAGGCCAACTGCAGGAACATTGATTGTTTGCCCAGCTAGTGTTCTTCGACAGTGGGCCCGGGAGCTGGATGAGAAAGTTACAAGTGAGGCGAAACTTTCTGTTCTAGTTTATCATGGAGGCCAGAGGACTAAGGATCCTGCTGCATTGGCGAAGTATGATGCAGTTTTAACGACATATGCTATTGTGACTAACGAAGTTCCGAAACAACCGTTGGTTGAAGAGGATGATGATGAACAGAAAGATGGAGAGCTATATGGACTGTCATCTGCATTCTCCATGGAGAAGAAACGGAAGAAACCCTCAGCTAATAAGAAGTCCAAGAAGGGGAAAAAGGATAATGATGTGTCTGCATTTGATAGTAATAGTGGCACACTGGACAGGGTGAAGTGGTCTAGGGTTGTTCTGGATGAATCTCAAACAATTAAAAATCACAGAACTCAAGTGGCTAGAGCCTGCTGTAGCCTTAGAGCGAAACGGAGATGGTGCTTGTCTGGAACCCCAATACAGAATTCAGTGGATGAATTATATAGCTACTTCAGATTTTTGAGATATGATCCATATGATAAGTTCAAAAAGTTTTCATCCTCTATCAAGTCCTTTATTTTGAGGGACTCAGTTAAAGGTTACAAAAAGCTTCAGGTTATCCTAATGAATATCATGTTGCGAAGAACAAAAGGTGATTCCCTTTAGTATTTTGTTGAAGATAGCATGGTTAAATGTGCAGTTAAAAAAAATTATTGACAGCTTAGTGCCTAGTGGGTAACATTCTATGAAACTTATGATGTGTTGTTCACAGCTAGTTGAAAACATACTTCAGTTTTTGTTACTTATGGTTAGGATAGCATTTGGAGTATTAGTTTAAAAACAAAAAACAAATCCGACCATACTTCTTGCAATTTATCTGTTCTTCTCTTTTTCTCTTCTGTGCTCCCGTTCAAGCAAACGGCTCCACCTTATGTTATAGGATTTTTTTTTAAAAATGTAGATTATAAAGGCTAGTATGATTCAAGTTTTGTCATCATTTTCAGAAATTTGAACAATGTTAAGCTCAATGAATTGGTTCTTAATATTATGTTCGCTGTAGCACTGACCACCTCAAATACTTTTACATTGACTTCTCTATGGATTCATGAAAAAACTTCAGACAACATTTATTTTTGGCTGTGCATTGCTGTCTGTTGCTGAATTGTCTGGGTTGAATTGTTCATTGCTACCGTGATGTTTTTGTTCTGCAATCTTTCTGATACTGGTTATGGTTGTTTGCACGAAGCACTTGACATGTATTGTTTTGTCTTTTTGCTAATTGTATTGCTGCTGAGATAGTAACAGTTGATTTGGGTTTGTTTTATTACCAAATCATTGTATGCGCATTAATGATAGTTTTCCAATGTCTCGCATAGGTACATTGATTGATGGTCAGCCTATAATCACATTACCTCCCAAAAAAGTACATCTGATGAGGGTGGATTTCTCTATAGAAGAGCGGACTTTCTATGATAGGCTTGAATCAGATTCACGCAAACAATTCAAGGTCCTTCTGACTCTCATTTGTGTATATCTCTATTTTATGTCATGCTTTAGACATGTTGTGTGCAATGTACATACACCCACAGTAATTTTTATCTGTGTCATTCCAGAAGAAGAGGTCCACATGAGCTTTTGAGATGTTCTGTTATTATGCTTTTCATATCTTAATTCTACTGTGAACTTTGGTCCTATCACTTCCTATTTCTGTAACAGTTTGTTGTCCTCTATTCTAGTTTCCATATGTTGATTCCTTTTTCATGTGAAATAGCTGTGTAGATACCTTGTACACCAAGGTCACTATTCCTAATTACCCATTGACGTCAATTTCTCTAATCTAAGTAACTTCATCTCCTCATGTAAAGGGAAATTACTGCTACACAATAATACGTGAACAAAATCACTCTTATTGCTAAATGCTAATAAAAAACATGTGTCTGAGCATTAGTTTTGGATCCTCATCATGTTTTCCATAAACTCATTGAAGTGGTAGTAGGAATATTGATGTGCCTGTAATTTTCCAGGATCAATTTATATTTTGGTTACATTTATGTCATAATCCTCAACTGAAAAAGAACAACATATAATTTAAAAGTTAATTTTCAGGCCTATGCTGCTGCCGGCACCGTTAGTCAAAACTATGCAAATATTTTATTGATGCTTCTGAGACTTCGCCAAGCTTGTGACCACCCGTTACTTGTCAAAGGGGTGAACTCTGACCCTGTTGGAAAGGTTTCATCTCAGATGGCCCAGATGCTCCCCAAAGATCTTCTAGTTAACCTGTTGAAACAATTGGAAACTTCACAAGCAATATGTCTCGTATGCAAAGTACGTTCTTCATTGACCTAGGACTTTGTATTGCTTTATATCCATTTTCAGTACCTTCGCTCGTATATTTGAACTTGTTTGTAGTTTGTCTTTTGAGCTCGACTGCCCTTTTACTGGTCTATTACTGTTATCATCCACTGGCCTGCACGGACTCTTTTAGTTTGATCAGTTCTGTTCAAAAATGCATATTGACCAGTAACACTCAATACAAACTTCCCAAAGTAATGCCGTGTCATTATGAAGACCGTTTGTCAAAGTTTGTTCTTGTTTAATTGGACAGAATATGATATTGGATAATTACAAATAGCAATTCAAAAGCTGGTAATAATAGATAGAATGTAGGCTTGATAGTATTTTATGTTGTGAACAATAATGTAACATGGTTTCATATCCTAATGTGGATGAGTTTTGTCATTAACTTTTGTTGTGAAATATTGATAATGCCCTTCATTACGGCTATTCTAATTTTTTCTTAGTATTTTTACAACCCTACTTAGGCTTCGCCTAATCCCCGCCTAGGCGCTAGGCCCAGCCTGTGAGCGCCTTTTAGAACCTTGCTTTCTTACCATATTGAAGCCAGCTGTTGTGTACGAGAAACTAATGCAGTTTTTGAACTGATTTTTATCTCAATAGGATCCTCCTGAAAATGCAGTTGTCACAATGTGTGGGCACGTTTTCTGCTATCAGTGTGTCTCAGATTATTTGACCGGGGAAGATAATACATGCCCCGCCTCTGCCTGCAAAGAACAACTCGGTGCTGATGTTGTATTTTCCAAATCTACCCTAACGAAATGCATATACGACGGGATTGATGGTGATAACCCTGTTTCCAAAGAACACGGGGAGAATTCTGTAGTTGTACAGAGTAACTATGTATCTTCAAAAATCAAGTCTGCTCTCGAAATTCTCAAGTCACATTGCGTATCAAAGAGAAGGCAGAGTTCCGAGTTATATCATTTGGCCAGCACATCATCATCATCAGCCAATTGTTCAGAGAGTACAGAACGTGAAAAGGCAATTGTTTTTTCTCAGTGGACCAGCATGCTCGACTTGGTGGAGATGTCCCTCAAGAATTCGTGTATCAGTTACCGGAGGCTTGATGGTACTATGTCAATACCTGCTCGAGACAAGGCTGTCAAAGATTTTAACACTGATCCTGAGGTTGGAAAAAAATCTTCACCTTCATACTTGTGCTAACAATGTAGTATAATGTTTGATAATCTAGAGTGGTGTGTTTTGTAGGTTGACGTCATGTTGATGTCACTAAAAGCTGGAAACCTGGGCCTGAATATGGTTGCTGCTTGCCGAGTAATCCTTTTGGATCTATGGTGGAACCCCACAACAGAAGATCAAGCGATTGATCGGGCTCACAGAATAGGACAAACCCGGCCCGTGACTGTATCAAGGCTGACCATCAAGGACACAGTTGAAGACCGCATTCTTGCCCTTCAGGTCTGTTGATGCTCGTTATTGTTAATTTTTGTCTCCAGTACATAGTTTTGTGTTCGGGTGATATTTGTTACGTTTTTCAGGAAGACAAGAGAAAAATGGTTGCTTCGGCTTTTGGTGAAGACCAAAGTGGGGGCCAACGCAGTCGCCTGACGGTGGAAGATCTCAGGTTTTTGTTTGAAGGTCGTTGAAGATTTTCGGGCATTTGTGGCACCAGTGATGAAACTTTTTTGGGTGGTGCTATTTGTAAAAAGTCCGCTGTAGACTTTAATTAGTTTTGTTTGCCTCTAGTTTTGTGACCAGAAACTCGTAAAAAATGGATCCAAATGATCGTACATATTTATCTTTATGTAAAATGAATATGGTGCATGCAATGCAACTTTGGTCTCCGGAGTATAGTAGTGTAGCGTTCGTTTTAAGGCAGGAGGCTTGGAGTTGGTAATTTTGGACAAGTAGCTTGGACTTTTAGTATTAGTTACTGATTGAATGAATGACCATCTTTTGGCCAATCTTGTGTTCCAATGTTATCGAAGTTGGAAGCTTTATTTTGTTGTTATCCTACAGGATTGAATACATGATTTGCATAAATTGTTCTATAATAACAGACAGGCGATTGCGATTGATGTTAACTTGATCAAAATGTAAATGAAGCCTATATACAGTGGTCAAAAGGCCTAATAGCATGCCCATAAAGATAAAATTCTCATGAAATCCAATAAATGCATATCAATTATCACATTTGGGAAACTGGTACTGTATACACACAAAGCTACATGATCAGGATCATGGGCACAAGCAAAACGGAGCCATCACATGGTAATACATATGCTTTGGAGAAAGAATTTATCCAATCCTCTCATCCAAACTTCCAGCGGACAACTCTCAAATTAAGCCTTGCTTGCTCAAAGTGGATTCAGTTAATACTTTGGATACCAAAACATGCCTTTAATGCCGTCAGGGTCAGGCTCAAAACCTAGATTCCGATAGAAATCCACAACTGCAATCCAAATGNCATCCCTATCAACTTCTTTTGGCCATACTCCTCTGCCAAGTAACTTGCCAAAGTACACTAAGATGTATGTTACTTGAGATTTATTTAACAAACATACTACTTTGGTTACGTTGCAAATACCGTTGTCAATCGGAAAACAAGCATTAGTGTTTGTTTAAGTTAGAAGTTAATTATCTAACCAGGAAAGTTCAGTTGCTAATACCTTCTCCAGCTGATTTCTCTACGGAATGCAAAGTAGCAACTATGTAGCTATTTCTTAGAGCTTCTGCCAGCTTTGACAGTGGCCTCCGAGGCCAACCAACCTATCAAGAAGAAAAACTCACGACATTACTTAACCCCATAAAAATCTTTCTCAAGTCTACCAAAACAAAAGAATAGTATAATAATCACCTTATCGCATAAAGCTTGGAGATCATACACGTCAATATTCCCACCGGAAGAGAATATGATTTGTTCAACCATTCCATCAGCTCTCATCCTCTCAACGAGGACAAATTCCTCGGGCAAGGGCTCTCCCGCTTCTTCAGCACTCGGAGGTGCCTCTATAACCTGTGCTGTGTCTTTCTTCAAAATACTGCAACATGAAGCTACTAATGTTGATATCTCTCACTTCACTTCAATATGGTTCACATGTCCTCTATTAAGAAATCAAATTCGAGTACAATTAAGAGAAAACTGCAGTTACCCTGATCTAATGGACTCCCACAAGTTTGCTTTTAGTCTCGAAGCCTTTTGCTTTCTGCTGCCTGCAAGCAAAAGAAGTAACAGCTGATGTCCATTTAAAATCATGACACACAATACAAAAGAATAACGGCCAGATTTATTTATTTTTTTTTTTGGAAAAATTACCAATATATTGGCAATGGTTTATCACACGCCCGATATCTTTAAGTACTCAATATGAAACGGACTATTAGTTAAACATTATGCAAGCTAAACTTTCATGTTACAGAAAGAAAGAAGCAGCAGAACAAAGCAACCAAGAGAAAGAAAGAACTCCAAAATGATTTCCTTTTCTGAAACAGAATGGAAAAAAAGCACCAAGGACCTAATTTGAGGGGCAAATACTACAGGCAGTTATGGACCAGAGAGAGAAAAAAGGGCAGCTAAACTTCCATGAAATTGAACAATTAATTACAAAAGAACTCCTGAACGGCGCTTCAAACAAACTACTGAGTATAGGATATTTCAATATACCTCTCCAAAGACCAAAATTGAGGGAAGTAGATGACGGGTACAGCTCTGGAGCCCGGCAATACAGAGAAGCCATTGGAGGGTAACTGCAGAAACGGAAGCAAATCATTATCACACATTAAGCGCAATCCGAAGGCAAAAATTACTCACTGCTTGGATAATTGAGTAGATTGGAGGTGGTTGAATAAAGATTACTCACTGCTTGACGGCGGTGAGCGACAAAGCGACGTCGTATGTTGGCATTTTTGTGGGCCGGAAAGTATCGGTGTGCGGTGGTGGACTGGTGGTGGTCGTCGGTCCAGATATGGCAAAGCCAATCCAAATTCACCACAAAACTTGAAAATATTAATGAATTTTGGTGGGGGTAATTCGGTCAATTCATCATCTTTATCAATTTTTAACTCCAGACCTAAATGATGAATTTTGGTGGGAGGAATTTGTAGTTTGTGTGGTTTGTGAATATAAAAAAGACAGGCTTAAAGAGAATAAAAAAATAAAACAAAAATTAAAGTCGAGGCACGTAATAGTTACTTCTCTTTAAGATGAAATTGCCCCGTAAAATACTCACGGTTAATGGCAAACGTCTCCAAAATACAATGACTTTCAACTTGTATATAGCGGTACTTCAAATATACGAGCCTTCGACGAACAATACTATTGTTTGGAACTCTCAAGACTCAACGAAAAAATCAAAGAATACAATATGCTTTATGAACTTTGAAAATAAAATGCAAGAGCTCTTTAAAATTTGATGTTTGAAATTATTTCACTTCATGAGAATTTATAGATGTTATAACACATCTTCAGAGAGTTCAAGGCATCAAAAGACACCTTTTGAGATGTCAGGGTCGCGAGCTCGTCGCACCCGCAACGCCCTGTCGCGTCCTTCTGTAGCGTGTAGTAGACTGTCACATTGGTATATATAACTAAAAACTTACTCCCTCCATTTTGAAATATAAGGCATTTAAGGTTATTGCACAAATATTAAGGAGACATTAATTAATGAATAAATTGACTAAATTAACCTTATTTACTCTAATCACAACCACTCCACACTTCCTTAATTTCAACACAATGAGGGTATATTTGGAAAAAAAATGCAAAAATTTGTCTTGATTTTTTAGCGCGCCTTATATTTCAAAAAAAATGAGAAATCTTTATACGCCTTATATTTCAAAATAGAGGGAGTATATTTTTATATTTATATGACTATTTTTGCACAGTTCTGCTATGAAGCCAAATATATAAAAGTTCCATAGGCATAGAAAATTATATTGTAAAATTTTTTGTTCAAGTTATTTACTTTAAAATAAATATTATTTTTTTAATCTCATTAAGCGATTATTTATTGGCATAGGAAATCCCTTAAAATTGTATAAACAATTGTTATAATAATAATTTTATATTGTTATGATTCCTTTAAATTGTAAAAATCACTTTATTTGTTATATTTTATGCAATAAATGTAGTGATTCATATACAATTAAATAATTATGTATTATTTATTTTTACATATGATCAAAACTTTCTAATGAATATTATGCATACATATATTTCATAATATTTTATTTATATTTGATGAAATACTAGTTTATATACATCCTTTCTCTATATATAATTCCAGAATGCGCTAAGCATGCGTGACAAACTTTCATGCTTCGGAATTCTATTTGGCAAAAAATCAGGCTTTGGAGTTAGGCTTGGATATAAATTAATATTTGTATTAATTTTTTTTAATATCATTTCATATTATAACCATTGAATTGCAAATACATTTTAAAAGCTGATAACTTTTGTATTTTCTTATCGGTTTTACATATATAATATATCAAATTAATCATCTTTTGATGAACTTCGATTTGACATCGATATTGTACATATAAAATAAATAAATTATATTTATCTTTATAATAATAATAAAATTATTTATTAAAATTAATTATAAAAAAAATATTTATCAATTGATATATTTATGTTTAATGTAGTTATATGTTATAAGGTAGAAAATTTATTATAATATAACACATATAAGTCGCACAAGTAACATGTGTCATACTAAAATATATAATAATATATACTCCCTTCTATTTTTTTTATTTGTCACTTTGGCTTAATTGATCATTGATAAAATAAATGTCGTTTTAGATATTTTGTTCATATTTTTCCATTTTTAACCCTTCATCTAATACACATTGTCTCTTCATATCCTATCCCATAACATCCATTAAATAGGGTTAATATTCTCAAGAAAAAAAAAATCTTAATTAGTGTGTTGCATTTGAATTGATATTATGAAGTCCGTTTATATTTTACTATTTATTTATATTTATCAAACTAAATTAAATTATATCAAATACAACTATAAATTATATTATAAAGTAATATAAATTGGTAAGTACTCTTTTAAAAATAATATTTATTTCAAATCTAATTGGTATGTTGTCAATGTAATAAAAATAAATAATTATTTGTATAAATATTAAAATTACATATAAAGTTAAAAAAACTGTGAAGTACGATTGATACGACAATTGATGTTTTAGACATCTAATTAAGTAAAAAAGTAATCTATTTTGTTTAATATTATATAAACATATTCTACACTTATGCATAGACATATCACCATATTATTTCTATTTATTTAAGATATATATTTTATACTTATGTAATAATAAGTAATATCGATATTTTTATATGATAAAAGTAAAAAAATTCAACACGGGTGTTTAATTATTATGATTAAAAAATATAATTTGACAATTTAATTAAAACCAAAAGTAATATTTTATATAAAATTATATTATTTGAGTTTTTAAAAAAATTAAAAATTTAATATTTTTACAAAAGCTTTCTAGTTCAACACCCGTGTAATATACAAGTATTGTACTAGTAGTTTATGTTAGTTGAGGTGCTTGTGATATTTTCATGCATAAAAAATAATTTAATTTATCTAACCATAGAATAATTAAAAGGATTTATTTATAACAACAGCTGCAAGGGTAGAAACGAGAAAACACATAAATGGCCGGTCGCCTCTGGATTAGGGATGGCGCAGAACGAAAATCGATCACTTCCCAAGTGTGAAATTGAGGAGACGAGCGAAAGAGGGGTTTAGGTCGTTTATCTTCTCTGGCTTGCCGACCCTTTCTTCCTCGTTTACATACCCTTTCTCCGTCTATCTTCGGAGTTCACTGATCGGGTACATGTTCCTTTATTTTTTTGGGTTTTAGGGATATTTGTCCCAGTGTGGTACTTTCATATAGCTTAGCTTAATGCTTTACTGTGTTTATTTGTATAGCTTCTTCTTCTTATAGTTTTCCCATTCATTTCCCCTGTTTAGGTATTGGGAGAAGCTTTTCAAGCTATGGCTTCGAAGCGTATACTGAAGGAACTCAAGGATCTGCAGAAGGACCCTCCTACTTCTTGCAGTGCTGGTACTGTAATCTTTTTATGCCTCCTTTACGACTTTTTTTTTTATCCATGTGGTGTTTTTATTTCATGCTTCATAGAACTGTTTGTATGCCGTACAAGCTCCCGAGGGATCGGGATACCTTATGTTTGACTGTAAATAAATTGCTGGTCGAGTTTTTTTGCTAAACTACTGTTCTGGTCAGTAAATTTTGATAAGAATGGTCTTTGTACCAGTGCCTCTGTATGCCCTTTGGTGGATATTTATCATTTTCCTTCATAGCTGCAAGTTTGAACGTCATTATATATGGGGTGTTGGTGATGTGATGTTTATCAATTGAAGTTTGTTTGATTTGGGTTTGTGATCTTACAAGAATGGACTTTACTTGCTGTAGGACCTGTGGCTGAAGATATGTTTCACTGGCAAGCAACCATCATGGGGCCAGCGGACAGTCCTTACTCAGGTGGTGTATTCCTTGCTACAATCCACTTCCCTCCTGACTATCCATTCAAGCCCCCAAAGGTAGTTTTTCTAACCCTTTGTTTATAAGTGTTGAATTATTGATCCGCAATGAGGCTTGGTGGTGGGCATAGGGAGCATTCTTATCAACTTTGTCTATTTGGATTTGTAGTTTGTAATAGTATTATTCATTGGTTGATGGCTTGTGGAGATTTTTTTGAGTAGTTATGACCCTGGAAGGGACGTGGGTAAGATTATCATGGATAAATATCATTAACATAGGTTAAACTTTTTGTAATTGTTGTTTCTGTTACAAGTCAGTGTATATGCACACCAATATATTAATAATATATCATCAGTGGCTGTACATGCACATGAAAAGTTTTGCCTACTAAAGAAGTTTCCTTATGCCTGTTTGTCTAATTTATTATTATTAATCGATGTTACATTAGGTTCTGTTTCAGCTTGTTTCAACCTCTGTGCAGCATAAGGGTTCTGAAACACAGCTAATGAATGATATAATCATTATATGGTGCTTCTTATTTGTTAACTGACTGGTAAGAACTTACAAAATTTCATTGTTTATTTCTAGGTCGCTTTCAAGACCAAGGTTTTCCATCCTAATATCAATAGTAATGGAAGCATATGTCTTGATATTCTCAAGGAACAGTGGAGCCCTGCACTTACCATCTCAAAGGTATAAGCTTTATAATTTTATATATTTTCTTTTAATATAATATTCTTGCTTCCTTTATTTGCTGATATAGTAGAAAATAAGGCAGACATAAAGATGTTCGCTGGGATGGTTGCATAACGCCTCATACCATGTTAACGCCTCATACCGTGGACAACATGTTGCCTATAACGATCGTGAGGAAAATAATTGTAGATACTGCACATACAGTGTGCAGTTGCTAATGCCTAAATTAAGATATTGTGTAATTAATGCCTTATATGCTCTTTACTCACTTTGAAACTTTTCTGCAGTGCACCTTGTTTTTTTTTTTTTTTTAATTTTTTTTTCATATCTGATAATATAAATGGTGCTATTACAGTGTCACTTGGGTTTGAGCGAATTTTCATTCTCATGACGTAGTATATGTAATATTGTTGACCAGGTCTTGCTTTCAATTTGTTCATTGCTGACTGATCCAAATCCTGATGATCCGCTTGTACCTGAGATAGCCCACATGTACAAGACCGACAAGGCCAAGTATGAGTCTACTGCTCGTAGCTGGACTCAGAAATATGCCATGGGATGATATGATAAAGACACTCTTGATGTCCAATATATGTATTTGTGCTGTTGACTTCTTGGCCTTGGTAGTCGGTACTAATAGTGAGATTTTGAAAGCAAATGGTATTCTGTTGACTTCTTTGGAGCATCTAATGCTACTATTGCTGAATTTGAAGTTTGTTTTGACCCTTTTGTGGTGAAACCAGTTAATCCGAGTCTTGTTTATCATTTATGTATTATTATTTGTATGCCCTTGATTTTGGTTTGTTTTGGTGTTCCTGTTTTTGTGTTGATACCATAGCAGTTGAATTGGTTCTGGGAGATTAGTTGTGTTGAAGCAAAATGTGGAGGATAGTGTGAAGGCATCAATTAGCTGTTACGAGAGAAACTCTCAACAACTGATAATGGGTTTGGTAATAGTTAGCCGTGCTTTTTGTTGACTTCCATTCATGGTTTTTTTTAAAAAAAAGGTGTTCATTTTACACTCCCAGGGCCAAGTGATGACCAAATGAGTTTCATTTCATGTGAGTTGATTGTAGCGGTGGATTTCAACTGGGTTCCAAATTATGCGGTGAAAAAAGTGATGCCTAAATGCTGAGCGTACATATTTCGACTTGTATACTTTTCAAACTCCTTTTAACAATTATCTACCAGTAAACATCGCCACTCGTAAACTTTTAGCTGTTAAGCACAAATATTACTCAATTGCTATTCACCGCCCCCTATTACTACTCACCGTCCCCCTCCTTGGATAATTTTGCCCCTGACATTTTTTTCAAAAAGTAAAAAAAAAAANGAAAAATGCTACTCAATGGAGCGTTTTGGGGTTGGCGTTTTGAGGAGAAAAAAAGTGGTCACAATTGCCATTGTTTTTGTCATTGAAATTTACCCCACAAAAACTGATAAATCATGTTTCTTTTTTAGGGGCCTATACTCTGCCAACCAATATAAAGAAATAATTACGTTTATGAATAATTGAAGGAATTGGAACTTCTACAAATTCAAGAAAAAATTGAAGGAAAATATGAATAATTTACATTTTCTTTATTATTTCTGTTTGTTTCTATATTTGATTAAGAAGTGTAGTCATTTTCTTTATTATTTGTGTTTGTTTTTATATTAATTTGAATTACTTTACAATATATAAAAAAATATGAATAATTTGCATTTTCTAAGTAATTAATAATTTGAAGTTAAAAAGAAATTAAAATTTATGAATGTTCTTTTAAGTAATTTTACATGTTAACAACTATTTACAAGCAACTAATTTACCAAACAGTTTTATAACAAACCGCTAACACAATTCGCTGGTCAAAACAGCTGATACAATCTGCTGGTCAAAATCGCTGACACAATCCGCTAACAGCTAACAGCTAACCGCTGATTACCAAACAAGGCCGATATATCTTTTTACCACAAACTAGTGCGTGGCCCGTGCGATGCACGTGAAAACAATATTACGATTGTATTATAAATTAAATATATAAATAACATTAATCATGATTTATCCATGGTTTTTAAATTAAACCGGGTTGGACACAGTGATGGACCGAGAACCGATTTATAACCAGTCTAGTTCGCTTGAATAAAATATTTGCCCTCGAATCCGTCAACACCAGTCGGTTGGACTGGTAGGATCGATACGATTTTCTAAATAATTTTTGTTATATTTAAAATTTTAAATAAAATTACATATTTAAATAAAATAGATATTTATAAATTATTTATCAATTAGTTTAAAAATTTGAATTTATAAATTGTTTAGATATCTAAGTAACACATTTTATTTAAATTTATTACAAAAAGTAATATATATATATATATATATATTAAAATGTTTATAAATTAAAATCTGAACAAGCCACAAATGATTTAATAAAATAGTTTGATCATTACGATGATGGTCCAGTTCTGAAAACCTTATATTTACTGTACATAAATTTTATTATTTTCTTTAAATATACATAATTTTATGATTCATATAATAAATGTCTACACCAAATGATAGTATATTAAGACTATAAATTAATTATTTTTACTTTATGCATATTAATAAAAAAATAAACATAATAGTTTTCAAAAAATTAAGATTAATTGATTGATTATGCAATTTAAAAAATATTTTTAGCGTTCAATATTTTCTTAAAGGAACAAATATAAAGACCGAAATTCTAAAACTTTTGTTATATTTTTCATTGAGATTTTATAAATATAGAGACCGAGATTTTAATGTTGTTCGTTGTTTTTAAGAAAAAATAAAAATAAAAATATACACACTTAATAAATCTTAGCCGGATTTTTTAAATAATAAAGACTAAAGCCCGAAATTTAAGGTAGTATTTATTGGTGTATGATTTTTAAAGAAAAAAAATAAGAAAAATAATAAAACTTACTATTTATAGGCTGCTTTAAATTCTGACCTATTTTTTTGCTACTATTTTTGGTAAATAGTAATTCTTATTATATATATATATAGATATAGATATAGAAGACTAATTTATAAAATTTAATATTTTATGAAGAGAATATTTATGGTAATATAAATTGTATATATAAAGTTTANTTTTATTAACGGTCGAATTTAATAATAATAATAGTTCTAATTTATAACACGGATTTTGAAAATCCGTTTTTTTAAAAAAAATAAAAACGATTAAAACGGATTTTGGAAATCGTGTTTAATAAAAAAAAACGAATAAAACGGATTTTCAAAATCCGTTTTTTGGTTGATAAAAATATGTCTCATAAAAATAAATTTTTAATATAAACATGTCTCACAAAAATTACAAATTATATCTCACAAAAATTAAATATATCTCACAAAAATAAAATATCGGTCATTTTTGCAGAAAATGACATCGTCATCCTCGAACCCTCAACCCTACACCCCATACCCCGGCCCCAGTGACCCGTCACTTCTATATCTTCAGAACCGCCACCGGTCCAAGGCGGTATATGAGGACGCACCGGGGTTTCGCAACGGCGTGGTTAAGCCACGCCGTGCGGACACCCAGTTCTGGGCTGCCTTGGAGGGCAACAAGCAGAATGCCCGGACCTGGGAGGTGATCGAGAAGGCCGGCTTCGGGCCTTTGTTTCGGATGGGGCGGGTCCCGACAAGCAATGGCCTCATTACATCCCTGCTGGAGAGGTGGCGTCTGGAGACGCGCACCTTCCACTTCGACTTCGGGGAGGCCACGGTCACTCTCCAGGACGTTCAGATACTCTTTGACCTCCCCGTCAACGGGGAACCATGCTGGGGACAGACCGTACAGCGGACTCCCCAAGAGTGGAGAGCCGTTTGCGCGGACGCTCTAGGGTACCTCCCATATGTACAGGTATATTTTTACCTAAAACTTTTATTTGCTTATTTTTTTATTTTATTGTGTTTATGTATACTTAAGTCATGGGTCGTTTTTAATATATATATGTAAACATATTTCAAGAATGTCGGGGACCAGGACTACGACCCCAAGACTTGGGACATTTCAGGCCAGTTCTTGTATTTCAGTAGTCTGGAAGACGAGTGCAAGCGACCACTGGAGGATGGACTCCCTACATCAGAGTACGAGAGGAGGGCGAGAGCCCTCATACTCTGGTGTATTGGGTTCTTCTTCTTCCCCTCTCATTGGGCCAATGGAGTCAACCTCTACTAGCTGTCCCTGTTGAATGTCATCGATGCCATTCCGGGGTACAGCTGGGGTAGAGCGCTTCTGGCCGAGGTATATAGAGGGCTCTGCGACGCTTACGAGAGGGAAGAAAAATATATCAAGAGCTGCGTGCAGTTGATTCAGGTTAATTTATTTACTTGTTAATTGTAAATTAATTTTATTTATTATAAATTACAATAATATGTGCTAAAAAATGTATATGTCCATATGCGCAGGTTTGGGCATGGGAACGCATCCCTCATGTTCGCCCAATCATGAGAAAAACGCATTTCGGCTCTCAGGCTGGTTGTCCCTTGGGTGCAAGGTAATAATACCCCATTTATTTATATTCAACTCTTAAGTTATTTCAATTATCAAATTTTTTAATTACAAATAGTTTTTTTCTGTGATTTTTAAGGTGGGTGGGATCGAGGGACATGAGGCACCTGGGGACGGGCACGGCTACCATCCGATATCAGCTGAGTGGCCTGAGAGAGACTGATGTAAGTTTCTTAGGTCATAATAATAAATAATTGTTATTTTTTTAATTTTATTTTTTTATTAAATTCATTATTAATTCTATAAATGTTTTTTTTTACAGTTCGATTGAGTACCCTATCAAACGTACATAGACGAGGGTCGGCTCCCGGACCAGTGTACACGAGACCGACATCTCTGGATGTACAAGGGGTGGATCTTCTGCTGGAACATCGCAGAACCCCACCAGCCTGATAGGGTGCTCCGCCAGTTTCGGTACCACCAGCCCATCCCCTAGACGCCGATCATTACTAGTCTGGCCGACTGGGACACCCGCCACAAAGGGCAGGGCATGACTGGGAGGGCATATACCGATTGGCGGGCCTTCCATACTGATCTTGGAAGGATCTGGACCAAAGAGAGAGATCAGAACGTCCTTCCAGATGTCTCGGTGGATCCCTTCCTGCAGCCGGCAGAGGGGTACATTGATTGGTATCACACTAGGACTGTGAGACTATTCAATGACCCTAACAACTACGCGGCGATCTCAAAGGACGGCGGGTTTCAGCCATATGCCGACCGGGAGAAGTGTCAGATAAGTGTCTGCTAATTTGTGATTATTATTATTATTATTATTATTATTATTATTATTATTATTATTATTATTATTATTATTATTATTATTGAAGTTATTTTTATTATTATTATTTTTTTAGTATTTAATAGATATTTGAATTTTATTTTCAGAATTCGGGTACGGAGGGGGCGTATAACATGCTATCGAACATTGAAGACATTGATACGCTACCTCCCCGAGCGCAGACACAGTTCCAGCAAGCCCAGGAACTTCTGTACGCTTCTCTGACTGTTGGGGGTCAGTCGATCACACAAGGGGCGTCGTCGGAGCAAATTTTATCTCAAGAGGCGTACGTCCCACCCCAGCAGACACAATCCCAGAGGGCGAGGCATAGACCGACGTCCCACATTAGTGGAGGGAGAAGATGCCGTGACCGCGAACCCGCCGTTGCATTCCCCGGGAATGAAGAAGACGAAGAAGGTGAGATTTTTTTATTTAACTACAAATATATATTTTTTTTTGTTTGTTTTTATTTATTTATCCGGTTGAATTACTGATTTTTTCCAAAAATTAATTAACTAGGTGAAGAAGAAGAACCAACCACGCCTGGACCAACCGCAGGATCGTCTTCTTCGGTACCACGGCCTCGGAGAGGGTCCCTAATACGTAGGCCTAAGCATGCATATACTCCTAGTTAGTTAGTTTGTTTTGTATTCTGTGATTTTGTGGACATTTTCTTTTTTCTTTTATTTTTTGTACTGGATTTTCAGATATTTATTCTTGATGGTTTTGTATACATATTTTGTGGTTCACTCTTTTTTTATCGGTAATTGTAGTTGACTTTTTTTATATAGTGTTTCGTGTATGTGTGTATGCATGGTAGATTTATAATTTGATGAATGAATTGATATTAAAGTAATATTATTTCATGTTCAAATGTTAAATCAAAATTTATAAAAAACCTTCATATTGAAGGATAAGAATAAAAATTCAACTAAAATAAACGCGATTGCTGGTAAACAAGTTCGTGAGCATCAAAGAGTCGAGCTTAACAAAAAAAAAAAAAAAAAGAAAAACGGATTTCAAAATCCGTGTTTATAAAAAAAAAATAAAAATTAAATATCTAAACACGGATTCGCATAATCCGTGTTATCATAGAACATGGATTATGAGAATCCGTGTTACCTACCACGGATTTTCGAAACACGTTTTATTTGAATTAATTAAGGGTAATCACGTCATTAAGGAAACACGGATTGTAAAAATCCGTGTTTCAATCAGAATTAGGCAAACGCGGATTATGAGAATCCGTGTTTAACTTAAACACGGATTCTCAAAATCTGCGCGTTTGAGTTTTGTCCACACCTTTTTTTTTTTTAATTATGTTTTTCCACAAAAATTTTGTTTATTTTATTTAAATAAATGATTCCAAATACTAACTACTACATTTTAATGAGATGCATGAGAGGTGTTTGGTCGTCCAACTACACAAACTTTGTAGGTGAATTAAGTTGTTTTGATTTCACAATTCTTCACAAGTAGTCATTTTTATTAATTTTTTTTGGGAAACATTTCAAATTATTCCATCTAAAAACAACTTTAAATTTGTCTTTCAAATGGGGAGAAGGTAAAAGCAAATTAACCATTTTCAGGTGTAATTGTCATTTCTTTCTTTCTTTTTCTCTCTTAAAATTTATTTTTGAAGTCTTAATTGTGTTACCAGACAGGAAATGTGGTGTCGTGTTCCTTTCGGACAGCGCCAACTCATCTGAAACACCGCCGTGAAAATAATCTTTACACATAAATCATTCTAGAAATCGTGCGCCGGCAATTAATCTTCTTCTGGGCTTACCGACGCCTGAGCCGTCGTTGAGGTCGTACACGCCTTTCTTGTCGGTAAAACTTCCCATTTCCCAAACCTAGCTCGCTTCCTTTCATCTCTCTCAATTGGGTTGTCATATTATTATTGGTTTGTGACGCTTTGTTAATTTTGGTAGAGTTTTGGGCTTTTAATCGATTCAATTCTCGTACGCTCTTTTTCGAGTACAGATACTACAGATCAAAAGGTTGTGTGTATTGAGTTTCTCTAAACCATAAATGGGCAATTGCGTAGTTAAGGTATGCAAGTGGCTGTCAAGTTTAGTTTATTGTTTTTTCTGTTCATTTTGGATCGTCATTATTCAATAAAAATGGAGTCTTGGTTAGGTGCCCACGTTTCATCTTCAAAAGCAACCGATAATAAGCTATTCTTTCATTCTTTTTTATTCTTTTTTTTTTTCCTTCTTTGGTTCTCTGGCACAATATGCAGAAAAAGAATGAGGAGGATGATTCCGATCATAACGTTGAGTTTGCCGGTGGAAAGGTCCACCTCATCACGACAACAGAAAGTTGGGAACAGAAACTGACAGAAGCACAAAAAGATGGAAAGATTGTATGCATTCATCAAGCTAGTGTAGTCTATCGGGTCTAGTGCTGATATTTAAAATTTAGTTTCAACGTCCAATGTCATGATGCCATGACTACACACATTCATGTGTTGGTATTCAACTTGAGATTATGTTCATCAACATGCATACAGTTGCACACACACACACACACGCACATAACAGCTTAGGGCGAGTTGTCTTATCCAATAATATTAGAATTATCTGCTGTTATATGTTCTCAAGGTAAATCTGCACTGAGTTTGAGATATTCAAATCACAATCGTAGTCATGAGATATGATCAAGTACTTGATACTTTTGAAAAGTGAGGCTTATTAAAGAATTGAGATGTTCATATTGTGTTATGGTGATTAGGTGCTTTTCTTTTCACATCTCCACTCAACTTTCCTTTACCAAATCAATTTATTTTGTTTGACTTTTGATTCCATTTGAATTTATACACTTATGTGTATACTTGAAGATAATATAACTTATAAGTTGGAAGTTGAAGGCTTTGTCGTTGGAATTATGGAAAGAATTGATGACTTTAGTTGCTTTGGTTATGGATAACTAGCCCACCCTCTATCTATTATATAATATATCGTTTGTTATTTTCTCTAGGGATGTAATAGACTGTACCATTTCTCGAACTAGATTTTTTTTGCATTCGATAACTTTGAGTAATTATGCGATGAATCGCTACTTTAAAGTACATAAATGTAAAGAGAGTACAGGTCAAACTACATCTATAATAATGTGGTATAAGAAATGTGATGCTTAGATTTCCACTGCCTAAGTTTGTTTGATTCTTCTTCTTTACACACGACTTGTATATTGTTCTCTCTCATGAGACTCAGAAGGAAAACATTTGCATGAAAGACCTGGAGCTAGGCTTGATAGGGGTATTATACAACTTTCTGTATCATGAGTGGAAAAGTATTGGAGATGGACCACATAACTAATTGTGAATTTAACCTCTCAAAACGACTATGGCCTACGTGTTCTAATTTGGACCTAATATGGAATCTTTTACTGTCCTTCCTAACATGGAACGATTACATGACAGGTGGTTGCCAATTTTAGTGCTACATGGTGCGGCCCTTGTCGAATGATTGCGCCATTCTATGTCGAGCTCTCTGAAAAGCACCCTTCCCTAATGTTTTTGACAGTTGATGTCGATGAACTTACTGTAAGTCTGTATTTTCACTTTGAGAGTTGGAAAAATTGTGTATAATCTAGAGTTCTTCTGATAATGTAGGCATATACATGAGTTTATTGTGCTTTTACTGCAGGAATTTAGTACGTCATGGGATATCAAAGCAACCCCAACTTTCTTCTTCCTCAAAAACGGGCAGCAACTTGACAAACTTGTGGGTGCCAACAAGCCAGAACTGCAGAAGAAGATGATTGCCATTCTGGATTCAGCAAACACATGCCCGACTTAGTGTGATTACCAGGCAACATTAGCGAATCTTCCTTTTTTGTCTGTGTGCAGATGTACAATTGTTATTAAAAGGGGAAAAAATGACTGAACATTTTGCGGGTGTTTTTGTGCGTGGAAGAAAGCCCTTCCTCAAACTGCCTAATGCTTTATTGTTGTCAACCACTCAAATAATCTGTTGTCCACATTTATTACATATGTAAGTTTATGTTTCTCCAGGCCAGCTGTGGTGGTCTGAATCTGATATTGTCAAGAGTCAACACGTTTTGCCATAACAGAAATTTTGGAGTTGATTGAGGAATGTTATAATTCTGAGCTTTGCCTTAAACGTTTGGGGTGATTGCAGATTTTGAAATAAAGTCTGATGACCCGGCTTATTGTCAAAAGTGATTGTCAACATTAAGCACCCACCAATTTTATCAGCTTTAACATTTGAAATAGAAGTTGAAAAGTTATTCCACAAGAGAGTAGAAAAAGACGTGCATATTCATGCTATAATGTGCGGCAGCTAAACAATGTTGTCCCTTCTGCAGTTTGCTTCTTGAATTGGGGAGTATCACAAAATTCCTATAATGTGTTGTGTATCACAAAATTCCTTACAATGCTGTCCCTTTGGCTTCTTGACGTATATTTGGGTATCATAAAATTCCATACTTTTCTAGCATTTAGTTTGCCATATGAGTTTTCACTTAATCAAACCATGTGTTTATCAGTTGCAACAAACAAGAATGTTAGCTTAGTAACTGCTAATTTGCTTTGCTCACTCAACTCTCTGAGTCTTTTTGCAACAATAACCTTTCAATCCAATTAAATCAATCAAAGCTTTGTAATTATGTTAAAATCTATCCAAGTACACATGCATCAGAACCACATCTGCAGAACCGAATACGAAAATATATAGCTGTATTACCATATATAATGCAACAAAAAATAAAAGAAAAATACAAACTGTTTTCACACATCTTGGTTATAGACACAACTTGCAGGATGTTTAGCCATCACAAATAGAAAAATGAGAGAAAAAAAAAACGAACGGTAAGGTAAAAAAGAATTAAGTTACAACACCAAAACGAACAAATTGAAGAGGAGAAGAAGAGATCATTATCGATGTTTTTAACGGTAACAATCGTGAAACAGCTCACCATCCATCCATCCAAACCCCATATCGAAAAAGCTCATAAAACGTTGGCTCGAAATTCACTACCTCCCTTTTGGATTCATGATCTGAGAGAAGACAGCACTCGGGGTCAACCCATCAGAGTCTTCACTTGCAAGGCTCCTCCCACCAATGCTCATCGACAGCCCACTACTTTTGGAATCCGTGATATTGCCATCGAACACCAATGACGAATCAGGATCCTTCTTGCATGTACTCTCATACGACTCCATATCCATCCCTCCTCCGAGACCCTTCCCACTTTCCTCCGCACTCTCCTGAAGCTGCAGTGCAAACTCAAGGTTCCACAGCACATCCCCCATTGAAGGCCTGTCCGTCCCCACATCACACACGCACTTGACCGCGGTCTCGGCGAATTTCTTGAAGCACTCAGGCGCAATCTTCCCTTTCAGATAAGGGTCGATTATCTGGTCGAGAATGCCCTTGTTGTAGCAGTGCTGCGCCCACTCAGCCAGGCTGACCTGTTCCTTGGGGAGCGTAGGGTTGAGAGCCGGGCGGGCGCAGATGATCTCGAAAAGCACGACCCCGTACGAGTAGACATCGGACTTTTCAGTCAGCTGCTGCCGCCTGAAGTACTCTGGATCAAGATAACCGAAACTGCCCTTCACCACGGTGCTGACGTGGGTGTGATCGAGCGAGGGTCCGGTTTTCGAGAGGCCAAAGTCGGAGACTTTAGCCACCCACTTCTCGTCAAGGAGGATGTTGGTCGTTTTCACATCTCGGTGGATTATGGTGTGCTTTGCCCCGGTGTGTAGATAGTGAAGGCCACGAGCTGCACCTATGCAGATCTCGAGGCGCTGCTTCCACGGCAGAGGAGGCTTCTGAGTCTTGTAAAGATGCTCACGAAGGGTCCCGTAAGCCATGTAATCGTACACAAGGATCATCTCGCAGTTCTCTTCGCAGTATCCAATTAGAGAGACCAGGTGGCGGTGTCGAAGCTTGGAGAGCATTTCTATCTCGGTTTGAAACTCGTGCACGCCTTGCTCGGATAGAGGGTTCCCCCGTTTGATAGCCACTTTAGTCCCGCTGTCGATCTCCCCACGGTAGACCTTCCCAAAGCCCCCGACACCGAGTAGTAGAGCCTCATCAAAGTTGTTGGTGGCAGCTTTGATATCTGCGATCGAGAAGTGGCGGCAGAGGTTAGACGGGAGGGACGAGGCGTAGCTCCCGGTCGTGTTGGTCTTGGCAGAGCCTGACGAGTGTGAGTTCCCATACAGGGACAAAGGTAGCCAGCCATCACTCGTGGTGGAGTCTTTCCTCTGCTTCCGGCTTCGGAAAACGAGGCACACGCACAAGCCGAGAAGGAGGAGAGCGGCTATTCCACCTCCGACCCCACCTGCAATGGCGGCTGTGTTATTATTATTATTATTTCCACCGGAGTTGACCGGAGGCGATTCATCGTCCGGCGTCGGAGGAAGTGGTTCCGGATTCAGGCCGGCAAGGCTTCCGGTGGTGTCGTTTATTTTGAACACTTCGAGCCCGTTGAGAATAGCGTCATAGTATTGTGGCCTTGATGGTGTGTAGGGATGCAAATCGAGCCAGAGCAGCTGCTGGGGAGGCCCGTTGGGGACCAACACAATGTAATCCCTGTGAACGGCGATTCCGTTATTTCCATCACCTCCTTCCCAAGCGATCACGTCCGCCTCCTGCTCCGCAGTCTGATTGTTAAGGAAGATGGTAAAGACCCTCTGGTTCACTCTCGTGATGATATCTGTTACCTCACAGAAGTGCAGCCTAACGAGATATGAAAAACCCGAATCGATGTTTAAATTCCAGGTGAGATTGTAATTCTGATTGACAGACGAGTTAGGTCCCATAGACCTCAGAGTCCGGTACACGTCGAGTGGGGCAACGTAACTCGGTGATCCGGGAGCAAAAGCGACCGTCACGTTGGGGTCTGGAACCTCCGTGACCCCAATTGCCGCGCTGAAAATGTAGTTGGTGTCATCGCGCCATGACCGGAAAAGACCCGTGTCGCCGGAGGGAGAAATGTCGTTCCCGCCCACATTCAGCCGGTACAGATTCTCGAGGGCCGTGCTGTTGTCGATGTTGAATCCAGTAGACTGGCCCACCACATTCGCTGTCCCGTCCGTACTGTAGATATCGGGATGAGACACGATCTCGATCCCATTCACAAACGCGTACGCGTTTGTCGAGTTTGGTGAAGGGGTGAAGGTGATGTTCAGAGCTTCGGATGGGACATTAATGGAGAATTCCTTCATGATGTAGTCGTAATTCAGTGCCTGGGTTGTGAGTGCAGCACTAAAGTTCCTCATAAGCGTGAACGGCCCAGACGTGACGGAGAAAATCGCAGCCGAGGCATTCAGGTTGTTGTAAGTTTCTGGGTAGAAATACAGGCGAACAAACTTCCGGCCAGAAGCCACCGGAAAACTGTAGGTGAACTCGGAATGGAAAATTCGAGCCGTCATGTAAGGAACATCGGGAACTGAGGGTTTCTGGACAGCTGCCGTGGCAGTTGTAGATTGGGTGGATGAAAGTGCGAATCTTGAACCGATGTCTGATGTCCATCTTCGACCATCAGCATCGGTAGCATCAGGCGGGCCTCCGCAGTTCAGGAAAATCCGATCCGTCGGTGTATAAGGCTGAGCTGATGTTAAGCGAATCGCGATTCCCAGTAACAGGAAGCTGAGAGCTGGTAAGAACTTAAGTTTGTTGTTGTGCTTCATCGATCACTGCTAAAAGAACCAATGAAATTCAGAGGTATATCCTGAGAACATATACAAATCGTTGATTTCATAAGAAAATGCCATAATATACATCTAAGAAAGGCACAAACTAATAACTATACTGATGAAAGGTGAAAGATTATCAAAATAGAAACACCAAAGCATCATTTAGACATCCTAAGCTCACACATTCTTAAACCTAGTAATAATAGAAATTGCAGCTTAGCATAGATCTGAGCAAGTAAATAAACAATCAAGAACAAAGTCGAAAGAACAACTGGGCACGGAAGAAACATTTTGACAGATAGAAATTCAATTTTCATCACATCCATAGAAAATTCAGCTCAACAAACCAAAACTCAAGGAAAGCACAAAAATTTGGTCATAGATTTAACATCGTAGAATCAAAGGAAAGGAACAAAGTACCTGAAAAATATCAGCAGCTGAACACGGAAAAACGCAGACTTTGAGACATTCAACAGTTGCTCAGAAAAGAAAAACGCGAACTAACTCTCTCAATCAAAGCAAGGAAAAGATGATGAACGTAATGAAAATGAAGCTCTGTTTTTTCACAGGAGAGAGAAAATAGAGAGCCCAAAGGAAGAAGATAATAAATGGCTAAAAGGAGTTACAGAAGAGACATTATTATTTGTTAATTAAAATTTGGATCTTAATGACCGAAAAGCCCCTCCGATCGGACAATTCCAATTTGCAATTTGCAAATTACGGAAAAGACGGACCGGAAAGGTCTATTGACCATGTGACAGTTGACAAATGTTGTAATGCCATCATCATAAGTTAAAATCCAATGCTTTTTAGCAAAGGCTAATCGTTAATAGTTCTCCACATAAAATTTATATATATTGTGAAGTGAAGATAAAATTTAAAAAGATGCTGAAGATTATTTCTTAAATAAAATTATGTAAAGTGAAAATATAAAGGTAACTTCAAATTTGCAGATTTAGTTAACACAGCATAATAGTACGATCAAATACGTACTTTTAAAATATCATAATCGAATGTAAATAAAAGTATAAAATACGTACTTTTAAATTAAATATCATAATCTAATGTAAATAAAAGTATCGTATTTTATAAGACTGGAAATCAACCCTTTGTTCTAAGGATAACTGTAGATAGAGATGTTAAATGGTCCTTGGTCCGACGGGTCAGTCCGTTTAGCCCGGAAAAAAGAGAGTTATGTCCTTTTATTAGTAGCCCGTTTAAATCAGGACTTTTTAGGCCCGGACCGTTTAGGCTAGCCCGGAACCCGTTAGGACTGGCCCGTTTAACTAGGGTTGGGCGGGTGTAAATGTTTGCATCAAGTAAGTGATATGCTCTTAGATTCCTTGTATATTACAATTTTGATATTTCACTTCACACGTAAGTACGAGTTGTAATGGATTATTATGATTTTGAAAGATAATTATTAACAATATTGTTATTGTACTTCATACCAAAATATTTAAGTCAATCAAAACGACTAATAAGAAATACATGAAACATAGTGATAGACGGTAAATACTGAATAACGTTGAAAATAATTTTTAACTAGCCGTTGTTATTTTTTTTTTTATATTTTTTACTC